TTCGCCGCATTTCTGTGTGGGTAAACCGAGGGACTGCGTCTTCGGTGTGGCGAGGCGGGCTCTTCTTCCTCCTGTGACTGACCGCCGGAGGGACGCGCATCCTGGCCCCCGGCCCCGTCGTGCAATGCGCCTGCTGCCAGGGCAGGAATCTCCTCCTGGGGGATGGCAGCCGAGGCCGACTCCTTTTCGGAAGTATCAGCCGTAAGAGGCGGGGGCGGGCGTGTGGGTGCAGTGGGGCGACAGAATGAAGGCGCCAATGACGACTTGGGAAGGACCTTACTGGTCTGGCGGGAGCCGGGGTCCAGCACCACCCGAGTGAGGCCTTCCATCAGCCCGTCGAGCCCACGCGGGCCCTCGCTTGCGTTTTTGGCTTGGATCTTGTCACTTTCTTGGTTCGTCGTGGAGGAGCTTGCGGTGGGCCCATCGGGCTGGACGGGCGTAAACACGAGCGGGGGACCCCACGGTGAGGCGCTGGGCACTGCAGAGGTGGCGCCGAGCTGGCTCGCGCGACTGCCTTCCAAGGAATGTAACGCAGCAAAAGAAGAAAAAGACGAAGAAGGCGGATTCCCACCAGCGCCCCACACGCTAGCTGCGTCTACTAATTTTTGCTCTGACTGGATGGAGAGGGTCGAAGAATGCAACAGGGAACAGCGCTCTTGCCCGGCGATCAGGTCGCTCTCTTTCTCTCCCCTGGTGTCCTTATCTGAGCTTATATTTTCCTCACTCCCAGTCTTCTTGTAGTCAATAAAGGGCGGACTCTCTCCGGTGTCGGAGTCCAAGATGCGTAGCACCTCGGCGCGCACCCTTTGCATGGCTTTCCGTTGATCTTTACGGCCGTGGTTCCGTCTGGTCGGCGTTTCCACTGTCTCCACGTCTTGATGCGGCTGCAGTGCTGAAAGATTGGAATGATATTGTGCATTCGCATCTTTTGCGCTGGAACGTCTGGACAGGATTTTGGCGGGTTTGAAAGCAGGACAGGCGACTTCTGAGGGAGGCCGAAACAGGGAAGGGTCGCCAAAACGTTGCGATCCTGGAACGATTTCTTGGAAAGATCCCTTTGGTGAATTTGCGAGGGGTGTAATAGTCTTTGATGTCTTAGATAATGAGACCGCTGTCTTGTCTAGCTCCGCCATAACTTTGTCAATAGAACTTTCTGGGGCTGCTATGAAATGGCCAAATTTTGCCCTGGCTCTCTCTTCATGCTGACCCAGACAGGAAGTTGGAGTCTTCGCAGGAAAGGATTTTATTAAAGAATTTGTATTGCCGTCTGAGAGAGCTTCTGGGACGGTCCCTAAGTCCTGCCTTCCATCTTTGCGATCGTAAAGGCTGCAGGCGATACCATCTACAGCAAGAGGGCTGCTTTGATCCTCCATTCGTACCGCTGCCAATGCAGTTGCTTGAGTCAAAGCACCTGCACCTGAAACATGTGCATATGAGTGCTTGGTTGAATTGGCATCCGGAAGGGTCCAGCTCGATAGTCGAGACACTCGCCCTGCCTCCTCGCTGATAGGAATTTGGCCGTAGGACATGAGAAACTCGGCGGAGGGCGCGCAATTCATCTCTTCCTCTTGAAAAAGGTCCACGGCCTTGCTCAGAGATTCTTTCAATTAAAATAGGACAGATATCGTGAGAGCGGTAGGCTCAAAATGGCAAGTCTGACCAGATTGCCCCGTTTGGCAACCGTTCCTAGGTGGCCATGGGCCGCAGTGCAGGGCTTCTAGGGAGATTGCCTGTGGAGATAAGGTTTTGCGATCGATCGATCTTTAGGCGCTTATATTGCTTAGTGAATTGGTAAATGTAAAGCATAAGGGCACATAGCATTGGAAAATAGAGATAAACAATCCTGCGGGATAGGTGACACAAGCGCCGGTGCGCCGGCGCCCGGTGGGAAAAATCACGCCGGCCGAGCGGAGCGTTAGATGCATGGGCCGAGCCAGCTGACGCGCTGGCTTCATCCAACGACTGGATTCCATCCCCTTTTGCCAAACAAGGGTTAGCTCATCCTTTGAGAATTACTTTTCGCTTCCCTTGAAACATAATTTGTTTCAAAAATGAGTTATACAGTGACGGGCTAGAAGATGATGTGTTCCCAAGTTTCGGTGTAAATTATTGCCCGACCGTATCAACGGGGCCTAACCCCCCGTGCAATCTATTCCTTAAGGGCTCTCCGAGTCTGATTATGGAATTGTAGGGCAAGACTGTGGCAGACGTGAAGGATAGTTACCACAGTGCAATAGGCATATCAACGGACTGATCACAATGCTATCGTACGGTTGGGCTATTCTGTCCCCAAAACAACAACTTCGGGCGAAACTAGTGCGCGTAGACGGATCGTGGTAATTCTATTCTTTGACCACGTGAAGGGCATTTCCTTCGCATATGAAGCCAAAGGTCGTTAGAGTATAATGTAAGGTGAACCTTTCTCCCCAAATGCGCTTGATTTTATGATGGTGGTAGACGGAGCCAGGGCAGCACCGAACCCTGAGTTATTTCTTGGCCGACCAACTCACTTGAATGGACATCAGTAAGCCGAAACTTCACATAATAAGTGAAAATTTTAAACAAAAATATTTTTCGGCACCGAGGTAGCGGCGTCAGCTTTTTCTGTCTGTCGTGAGCAAGCTTTCATGAAGCAGCTTTCAGCGTATCAGGAGATACCAGTTTTTACTCAACCAAAGAATTGAGTAGTCCGACATGGAAGTTGGATCTCAGTATGCTACACTTTGGTGGAAACTTAGCGTTTCAAGTTGATGACAGCTTTCTATACCGATATCAAAATTAGCTCAAGTACGAGAGAGATACATGTTTTTCGCCGTAGGCTTTACAACCACCCTGGCCCCAGTCTGAACAATGGGCCACGTAGTCGTGCCGATTTCATTATCAGACGTATCAAAAATTACTATACGAATAAAAGCGATCAAAGAGATGTATGTATGACACGGAAAGATGTTTTTTTTAAAAAAAATTAGAAATGGATATGAAGCGCATAAGCTGATTCAAGCTTACTAGTGAACCACTTAAAAAAAGGACATTACTTCCTTTTTTTGAAGCAGACGGCACGCTTTTAAGGTCGCTGTCTAAATTCTTTAATGACATAGATAAGCGTGTTCGTGAAGAGGCCTGCCCTTAGACTGCATTTGTCTTTTGCACAAGCAGTAAGTGAAGGAGCAGGAATGGGAAGGCTTCAAGCTACTATGTCGACAAGCGACGTCCAGTGTTCGGATAGGCATATCTTTTAGCGTGGGAAATGTCGCGTGGTTGAGAAATATTTCATGTTGATGTGTGCGTTGGGAGAGGGCCCTCTTTCCATTCGTAAAAGCAGGACGAAAGCAATAGAGCGGGGGGTTATAGAGCTAGCAGCACAATGCGAGCGGACGCGCTTATTCGGTCGTTGCGGTCCAGCACTTTGATTGCGCTCACGGACAGATAACCAGGTAAAGGCGGGGAATTTGTACGAATCATCACATCTATTTTACCTGTATTCTACTTTTGATTCTATTGGGATCAGTAATGGGACTGCAATCACTTTTGTGTACTTTTGTCCCGGTGCTTTTCATGATTCTCTTTGTCTTCCTACCGAGGGGCAGGCCCCCACTGCAGACGAGCTGAAGTTGACAAAGGACACCTCAATGTGAGTCCGGGCACGTGCTCTGAATGGTATCTATTCAACCATTCTTTCCAACTATAAATTTTGAACATACAGTCTGAGGCCATTACGATCTTTGGGTAAGATTTCCATCTTTACTTTAAAAAGATTCTGCGGGATCCGTCATTCAGCCCTCGACTCCGACGACCATTATGGCCAGCAAAGTCTCACTAGCGGCAGCAAAGGTGGCAAGCAATAAAGCTGCTCTACAGCGTGTGACATCCGACTTGACCGCATCACCAATTGCATACTTTGCGCGGACAAGTCGTTTTGATCCAAGTGCCAGGGTCCATGCAGGATCGCGATTCCAAAGCACATACGCAAAAGCTAGCACAAATCTCACGGCCCCAAAAGTGACGACTTCATGGTTGAGCGCCCTTTTTGGTGGAGGTAACTCGAAACCCAAAGCACATCGACCATTTGGCCGGCACGAGGAAGCGCACCTAAGATTGGCAACGCGCAAGACGAACAAAATCCTGAAGGCCAACCCGGGGGCACGTGTCGAGCCTAAATTTCTATCGGAGGAGGACGCACAAATGCTCGTCGAGGAAGCTATGGACGTTATAAATATCTACGGGATCTCGCATGTCAGCGAGGAGCAACGGGACTTTCTGGCCAACCAACTGAAGCATTTTCCTCTGCCGAAGGAGGACCTCAGGGCTCTCGTCAACATGCAGCGAGTGACAGGGGTAAGGGGGAGATTGGGGGGGAAGTAATGGAAGGACAACACTGCGTGCAGTATCAAATGCACAGCACACGGGAGTTATTTTATGCCGCGCCCTTGTCCTCCCTATTCATGTCCAATTTCTCACTTGGTATCGCTCAAGCCCCGCCTTAATTTCTTTTCTTCCAGCGATTTGAAGACGAGGCTCAGAAATTGGCCCCCTGGGGGTACGGCGATGACTTCCAGGTCGACCAAGTCCCGCCAGCACTGCGCAAAGTTCTCGAAAGCATCCAAGATTCGCCGCATTTCTGTGTGGGTAAACCGAGGGACATCACCATCAACCGGCGCGAGAAATCATTCTACCGCCTAGATCCGCACATTGACCCCGCCAAGGACGGCGGCAATGTCTTTATACTCAGCCTTCTTTCTGGAACCGTCATGACGCTCACGCCCACGTCCCGGACCATGCATCCGGACCAGCACAAGGCGATGGACACGAGGAAGGTGGCCGAGGTTTCCTGGCTGCCGGGAAAGGATATCGATGTGGATTTACCTGTGCTGTCCCTGCTGCACCTGAGCGGAGACGCTCGCTACACGTGGTGCCACGGAATACGCCCAGGGGTAACGCAGTCTCAGATCAGCGATTTCAATCTGGGGGGGGTGATGTCAGACGAGATGGAGGGAGTCGACCAGGAGGCTGTGAGGACGCTGGAGGGGTTGCCACTCTGGGATTGGTGGGGTTCTATGAAAAATTTGCGGCGTCGAGGCCCGGAGCGTGTGAGCATCATTTTTGCGTTCGCAGACCCAGAATGAGGTAGCAAGGAGGTCGCGGTAAATTTTGAGGGGGAAATGAAGACGATTTTGTAGCTCTTGCCTGGATCACTCGAGTGAGCCGCATTTTCTTTCCAATTACTTTTCGAATACAGCTACGACGAAAAAAAACTCATTTTCAGATCGTGGGACATTTAACGACTCTTATGGGCTTGACGAGCTTTGCTGTGGGGAGTGAGCTGCAAATTCTTAGGTCGAGAGTCTCCCCTGGATAAACCTACCCGGTTCCTTGATCCTTCCCATGTTCCGTGTTATCTCGTGTTTGACAAGCCCGTAACACAGGCTTGACATGCAGTGCAACTTTTGCGGAAGGATACGTAAGCTATATGCTAATAATTCACTTCCCTATGAATACTGCATTTTGGAAAATACAATGCACACAGGTTCACAGCGCAGTACCAAAAGGTACAACCTCCTGCTCTCGTCTTCGGATGGCAGGCTGCCGCGCACACAATGAAGTAGAAGCGGAGAAGTTGACATGTGAAATAGTTGAGCTTGAGAATTCGATCGCACACCTGGTAAGCTTGCGTTCCCAGGAGCTTTTGGGAGTGTTTTCGTCTTTTGCGCCTTTGTCGTCGACAGAGCCGATATGTTAGCCGCCTTACATCACTAATTCAGATGGCTTCCCGACCCTCTCGGGTTGGTCTTGTTTGAGTGTTATGCTTTTCTTACTCGAACTGTGTAAATTTAACCGGGGCAAATACAACTGAAATTGGTCTTGCATGCTCTTATTCCGAGACTTTTTTTCGGCTTTTACTATTGCAGACGCGATCGAATGAGGAGCTAGCTATGGCCCTGGCCTCCGACCCTGACGACAAAGACTTTCGAGAAGCTGTAACGGAGAATGTTTCGGTCATACAAAGGAAGAAGAAACTCCTTGAGGAGCTTAAAAAAGAGTTGAAAGCTCATAGAAGTCTGATGGTCACGGCCTTGGGCGCCGCTGAGGCCAGGCAACTGCCTGCTGCCATTGCCCTGGAGACTCAAAGACCGTCGACCTCTACTGGGGCAATACTCTCTTTACCGGCTGAAAGAATGAATCCGAACGAAGGGCAGGCAGTTGAGGAAGAGGAAAAGTTTGAAGGAGTTTATCTTTGATAGTTCGCTGTGCATATACACAAAAAAATAAATATTCATATATACATGGGCAACAACAATAAGCTTTTTCTGCAGTGAGCGCTTTAAATGTACTCCAGCACATCACGTTTTTCTACTTCGGCTAATATTTCTTGAGTTCGACCCTCTTTACGTCAGTAATGCTATATTTCGCCTGTTTTGCAAACCATGGTGACCTGTCGTCCTCGGCAGCTCTTATTTGTTGAAAATTTCCTTCATAAATGCCACGGCATCCTTCATCTCCTCTGGTGTCGCTCCATGATCCAACCCGCGGTAGGTCTTGAATGTATAATTCAGGCCGAGCTCTTTCAATTTCTCAGCACTGTGCTGTCCCCATTGATGCCGCACGATCCCGTCCGCATCTCCGTGCCCGTGGAAGTATGGCATGGTTTTCCCAACGTCCGTCAAGGCAGCAGGGTAGTCCGCCTTAAGTGGCAACCATCCGGATAAAATGACAGCCCCGCCCAGTCGAACCTCGCTTCTCAGGGCTAAGTGCAGCGTAACAGCCCCTCCTTGCGAAAAGCCTCCCAAGACAATCTTATCTGCCGGCACTCCTGCCTCGACTTCCCCTTGCACTATTCGTGCGATGCGTTGCTTGGCCTCTTCAAAGCCCGCTCTGTCTTCCGGACTGCTTTCATCCAGACCATTTATGTCAAACCATCCCGGCATCGGAAAGCCTCCATTCAAGGTGATGGGCCGGGTGGGTGCGGTGGGAAAGATCATGCGGGTGGTGGGGAATACTTTAGGATCAAAGGCCCCGGCCCACCCTTCGCCGGAGTCGCCTAGGCCGTGCATCCAAATGATGGAGGACTGAGCAGGCCCGCCTACAGGGTTGAGGGTTATACCAGCCCCGCCAACGTTATCGTTACGAGACGCTCTGTGGGTCATGGCAGCGAGCCCGCGCGTACGTGTATCGGCAGGGAAAGTGCTGGTCGGGTACGCAAAAGCGGTACTTTTCGCTGTGGCCAAGATGCTGGAGACAGAGAGGCAGATAGCACGGCGGGCGCTCCAGGGCAAGGGGAGGCTCATGCACTAAGAAAGAGGTAAAGGACACCCTGTCAATTTTCAGATGTTGTGCAGACTCCAGTAAGTTCGGGGCATGACACGTAACAACACGTGCATGACATGTAATGGAATAAAGTGACGACTGGGAGCATACGAAGTACTCAGCACGCTCTGTCTCTCTCGGCTGTCGCGGAATCGCCGTCTCGAACATGCAAGAAATGCAACAACCAAGGCACTGACTGACCTTCAGAAATTGAACATTTGCAGGAATGGTCTGGCGCACCATGCCACCCGCAAACATGCAATTTGCACATAAGATCTGCCTCTTCCTGGGCATCATTTCTGTCATCCGGCCTGTCCGTGCATTTTCTTCAAGTCGGCCCCCCCCACCTCAGTCTCCGTATGACCGGCGAAGCCCATCTATCAACCCCTCCACTCCGCCCACCCACGCGGACCTTGAGCAAGGCCGTGGCAGTAATTTGTACCGGCCATTCAATCCATTGCTTGGACCAGGCAGCCGCGTGGCTATAGATGGCGCAAATGCCCCCGGAGAGGGCAGTACGCTGGCAAGGCTGATCACCATGAAGCTATTCAAGTCGCAGATGCGGCCCTATTTGGTCATTCCTTCGCTGGGCAAGGTACCAACGGGCCTTGGTTTTGATCAGTACCGGGGCCTGTCCCGTTATATTTGCACGGCGCCTGTGGATAAAATGAAAGAGGGCGACGGTCGGTTTCCCCCCGAAATCGATGGATTGGTGCTTTGCTCTGAGAGAGGGTACACAGCGCACGATGTTCGAGCAATCCTGGCGCGTGTGGACGATGGAAAGGAGGAAAGTCGAGGAGGAATAGAAAGCCGAGCGGAAGCAGGGGAGACGACCGGATTGAAACGTGTCGTGATGCTTTCAAGCCTCGGGGTGAACAGACGCGAGGATATGATGTGGAAAATCTGGCAATTCGGCGTGGATTTGGAGGCAAGAGTGAGTAGAGAAAGAAGACGTGAGGAAGAGGAGGAAGTAAGTGGATGGCCCCCGAAGGGTGAGGGGAGAGAGTACTGACTGCTTGTCTTCCTCAACCTGTTGACCCACAGCACCAGGCCGAGCAAGAACTCATCGCACAAGCACACCGGCGGGGCTTCACATACACACTCATCCGCGTCGGCCCCTTAAGGGGCGGGGGCGGCGAAGAAGGCCTTGGCAACGATTTCTACGGGCAGAACGAGGGGCGCCACCATCCTCTGAACCCCTTCCCCTCCCTCGCCGCGAAGAGGGACGAGGCCTTCGACCTGACCCGCCGGGGCTTCACCTTCTCCTACTGCGACAACATCCAGGGGGAAACGGGGAGGGTGCTGGCTGCGGAGACCTTCGTCAAGGCCCTGGGCTCAGCCCATGTCGAGGACGTGGCCATCGCCCTTGTGAGCGAGCAGGGCCGAACGTGGCCCAACTTCCAGGTGGCGCCGTGGGATTTGTTCTAGCCTGAGGCCCGCCGGTCTGGAAGGGTCTGCCCCTCTTGGCGTTATTGTCGGTAATGGAGAGGAAGCTTTAGCGCTGTGAAGGAACGGAAGGCGCGAGGCCTCCCCGAAGAGGGGTCTCGGAGGAAGGAAGGGAGGTTGCCAAGCGGGTGGGGCCTTCGCTGCCTAGAGAGATACGGTCTTAGGCACGACCTATGCATATGTAATTTGTTTAAAATTTCGATTCATTCGTGATGTACAGCTTTGCAGGTATTGTTGTGAAGCCACGATATGTAGGATAATTTCGCTTAGTACAGTATTGTAGAGACCCGGGGCTGCCCCGCGTGAAGAATTCGGGATACTGAGGCAATAGCAAGGTAAATAGGATGACCTATTGAACTGAAGCCGGCGATTCATAAGATAGTTTCGCTGTAAGGGGACCGGGAGGAGGACGACGGCATTCGTGCGGAGGCGCATGACAGGCAGAGATGCCAAGGCTGTTTATAAGATGTGCCGCTCGTGAACAAATGATAGCATCTTCGTAACAAAGTGACGTCCTAAAACAATCGACAATATTATCATCGTGGAGCGCTTCGCGGCAACGGTTCTACATGGTGTCTTCGTTCTTCGGCTCCCTCCCCACCCCCCGCGCTTTCCCCCTTGGCCCTCCTTCGGTGCTGAAGCCTCCCGCGTCATCCACAAGACCCAAGAGCTCTTGTTCCATTTCTCATTCTTCGGATGCAGCGCCTGGTAGCTTTACGCCGCGCAAAGGATCCTGTTGTCAGGAGGGCATGGAATGATAAGTCCAGGGGCTACAGTCAGAACCCAGACCTCATTCACATTTTCTACTCTCTTCCATAATAATTCAAAGCTTGATTGATCCCTTATTTAGAAGGCTCCTTACCCTGACGAGCTTTAAGTACTTTCCCACCAGCTCGGCGCAATCATAATAATGAGTAACCGGGTGCTTGCGTTGGCACCAGGACACTTGATCGCGCAAATTCTTCACCATTTCGATAGCAATCGCCTCTTCTCGTGCTCTGATATGTGGATTTGTGGTAATACGCGGATTGACAGGTGAATAGACCCCTAAAATGAAAGATAAGCCCTGCCACGACACGCATCAATGTCGTTGCCTCAAAACTCCTGCACCCCAACTCCTGCACCCGTTAAAGAGTGGCGCATATGAGGAAAAATCAGACAACCGCAATACATTCTCTTGTATCAGAAGACTGCTATATGTAGAGAAGGCCGTGTGGGCCTGAAGGCATCTATGTTATGTCAACGCAAGCTTCGACTTACCGAGCCTCTCTTCCCTTGGTCCAAGCAACAATATCCGTCCGCGCCTCCAAAGGGGCGTACTCGCGAGCAGGCAAAACCACGTCGGACTTCTTTCCCATAGGATACTGTAGTGATAGAGGAGTTGCAGAGGATTGGAATACCAAACAGGGCAATATGAGGATGCTCGTTGCCGAGGGGACCTAGGACGGGCAAGAAGGCTCAGAGAGAGTCCATCCCCACCTCGTTTTAAGATTCACTTCCACCGCGGTGCGGTCACCGCCCAGCCCACGAGATGCCATACGAGTCACACCAGGCGGAGGTCCGGTCATCTTCGAGTAAAGGAAAGGATCCTTCGTGTTCCTAGGCAACAACATTCACACCTCGTCCTCGCCTCGCTCCCCCACTTCCAGCTCTCTCGCCCTCCTCAGTCCTCTCAGCTCTGTCTCTGCTTTACATGGCAGTTTTCGAGTCTCACACCTTCATGTCCATTTTTAATCATTCGTGACAGGGTCGTAGAAATAAGTAAAGGTTTTGTTCCACACGTTCAGGAATGGGCGGTGCGTTGTCTGTGTGGAAGGAATCCGCCATCAGCGCAAACAGGCGCGAGGGCTCCTTGACGACCTCCTCTCACGCCCTGGAGCCATCACCACCAACACCATCGACAAAACCATTATCCTCTCCTTCGACGCCATCCTACGGTCTTCTACTCATGTCATCGCTCGGGATAGTGGGATGCGGCGTGGCTGCGGGTTTGTACCGCGCGAACCGCGACACGGAAGGGATGGAGGAATGGCGCAAGTTGCCCCCAAGTCAGCAAGTGAAGCATTGGAAACGGTGCGTAGGCCTTAGACTGAAAATTTGAGTTCACCAAGGGGTAAATTTGCGAAGTATTTGGATTGCCTAATAGACGTGTCTGTAGTAGCCGGAAGCTATTACATGCACGCGATTGAAACAGCACGCGTCATTGATAGTGTGTATTGGCAGCCACCATGCCGGGAATTTGCAAAGCCTCATGAACTAAAAATGAAATTGCTTTAACCTGTCTTTCTCTTCTCTCTTCCCCCCCCCCTCACGTGCTTCCAGCGATCCTCATGCCGAATTCAACCCGACTCGATTCGCAGGCAAGGCCCTTGCAGTAGGAACGGTTTTGTGCCTGAGCGCGACAGGCACCTTAGCCTTCGTGGTTGGACGCGCGATGGGGGTGGGCACTGTGGAAGAATTTACACAGAAATTGAAGGTGTGGGCCCCGGCGAAACGAAGAGAGCTGGAGGCTTGGCTGAAGATCAAGCCTAACGCGTCCTTAGAAAGAGAGAGGGAGCGGCTAGCCGCCATGTCATACGAAGAGGAGATCGATTACTGGGAACGAGTGGTTGTGGCGGAGGAGGAGGGAAAGTAGGACAAGCAAAGAGTGTGGGATTTTGTAAACGAACGGATGGCGAGGGTTAAAGGACAGGAGGGGCGGCCGAAACGCTTTCTCGAGGTGGCTATAGTAGGAGCCTCGCAGAGCTTTTATCTTCGACGGCCATCGGCTTCCACTTTTTCGACGCATTGCTACAAAGCCCGTGTGTATAAAGCAACGAGTGGAGGGATGACCGACACCCGCATGTATGATATCATCGCAATGTACTTTAAAGTAAATAAAACAATTTTGACGTCCACCTGCACCAGGCTGAGGGTCTCATGGCGCACAAACAGTCTTAGGAATGTACACCTGCACCGTCCCCCCTCTGTTCCACCTTTGTGCGGCCTTCCCACGGCATCCTCTTACCGGGCCAGCACACGCTGCAACTGAAGCTTCAAGTCCCTCACCTCCTTCTCCAAGGCTGCCCGCTCCTTCGCCCACAACTTCCCCCTGCCCCTCCACTCCGCCTCCCGCACTTGGGTTCGCTGTCTTTCTTGCTTCAGCATTCCGCGCTCTTCCTCCAGCGCAAAAATGATGCCCTGCTGCTCCTCCACCATGGTCAGCAGGGAAGCGCACTCGTGCTCCAGGCCCACCTTCTCGGCGGCGTCGCCAGACAACACCTCCACCTCCTCCCTCAGCCCCAAAGCCTCCTCGCGCAAGGCCTCCGCCTCCCGGGCCACGCCCCGGAGGTCCTTGAGTTCCTCCGCCTGCTGCGCCACCACCAAGCTGTACTTGTCTGCCAGGCCCCGGTGAGCACGTTCCAGGGCGGCAAGGGCAGCGTCCTTCTCGAGGACCTCCTCCTGGGCCACCCGCAGGCTCCATCGAAGGCCTTGTGCCTCCCGGCTCTGTCTCTCCGCGCCCTCTCGCAGCCGATGGACTTCTGGCTCGGTGGGAGGATGACACGAAATCAATTAGAGGCAGGCTTGAGCGCGTTACACCAAGGGGCAGGGAGAACAAGACGAGGGGGCAGGAGGGCGAACCCGGCAAGAAGCGTGGACCCTCCAGCATCGACCTCCCCCGCCCCCCGCCCCGACCTTGCCTCTCGA